CATTAATTAGGATTGGCTTTGGCTGTGAGTGGCAGGAAACTCAAACAATGCATTTAGCAAGATAGAGGTGTCTTCCTCAGGTGAAAGATCAGGCAGTGGCAACTACTGGATCAAGAGACACCCAGGCTCCTTTTTATTCTTTCACCTTAAAATGCAGCCTCCTCCTGATGTTCCGAGAAGATTGCTCCTCTCCTACCATCAGGTCAACATACTAGTTAGTGGGGAGAAAATAAAGGGACAGAGTCCCACTCCAAGCTCACTCATCTCAGGGACACTTCCCAGAAGTTGCACATACTGTTTTCACTCACATCCCATAGAAAGGCGAGAATCATAGCTTTTTTTCTCTTTTTCCAGGTAGCCACATTCTCAGCTACAAATTATGTGTTCCGTACCTAGTAAGGAAAGGAAGCAAGCTCAGCAGATTTTGTTGGTGATGTGGAAACAGGTATGCAGATAGTTATAGTGCAAGGCTAAAATACAAGTGTGACAAGAGTTACACTTACTAGCTCTGTGACCTTAGGCAAGTTACTTCTTAAGCTGTCTGTGCCTGTTTCTTAACTTACATAATGACGATAATAGTAACATCTACTTCGTAGGTTTACCTGAGGTTACCTAAATTATTATATATGTTTTGTATGTACACACATATACAGTTACCTAAAAATTTAACTCCCCTCTATATCAAGGCAGCTGAGATGAACTTTTGCGAAGCTCAAGTCGGAAGTAGTGGCAGATTTGGCTCGAAGGGCAGACGTTAGACAATTAGCCAAGGTTTTGATGAGCTTCACATTCCGGAATTAAGCTAGGACTTGTTCTTCTCAATGTTCATTGCTATTTTGGCAACGTGTATGTGTATAAATCTGAGTACATACACACATACATACATACATACATTTAAGGGAAAAAATAAGTCTTGCTGATAATACGCTAACATTAATATCTAGAAAGTCTAACCACAATGTGTGTCTTTTTTGTGTTTACTTTAGTATGTTACTCTATGGAGGGTGGAGGAGTAGGTGTAGGAGAGAATGAGACTGAACAAAACTTCATACATTTCTTTTCACATGGGTGACTACAAGCACATATTTCTTTCCTATAATTTAAAAAGGTCGAGGAAAACACCTTCTCATCATTTGTAATATTCTTCACTGCATATGGTAACTAAAATTCTCATGGTAACTGGAACCAAATCTAACCATAGTTTTCATATCCATATTTCACTTTTTCTCCCCTTAATGAACAAGACGTCAGAATTTCAGTATGTTGCATGGGGTCTGAGGTCAGATTTGGTGCCTGAGCCCTACCAGTCCCTCCTTTGTAATCCTGGTTGTAACCATAAGAAAAGCCCATGGGAGGGAAAGTACCACTCATCGCACAGCTGGGGACACTGAAGGACTTCTCAGCTAAGTTGTGAGGGAATAATTTATATTCCCATCATCCCCTACTTTTAGTAGAGAAAGTGAGGCTCAGAATAGCCCCAACTCCAGTTTCCCATCTTCCCTGGAAGAGAGGAGGTAGACCTGTACCCTAACAGGGCAAGAGCGACTGCACGTTTTCAGACTTGTTAATACAGCAACTCTCTTCACTTATAAAGATAGAGCCCAGTATCTTGGGTTCACTTCAATCCTTTTTCCTCCGGAGGGGTGAGTAGGAAGGAGGCAGGTAGGGAGAATTTCCTAAATACTATGCGTTGAGCCCAAAAGAGAACATTATAAGGTGCTAGCTAACATGTTAGGGAAGTATCTTGAACCATCCAGATCTACTCAGCTACTAGCTGAATACCAGAGTGACCTCATCTTAATACCATGTGGAGCCCAAATCACCCAGCCACGCCTTGACCCACCAAATCATGATTTATAAAAACACAGTGGTTGTTTGGAGTCACTGAGCTTTGGGGGGTAATTTGTTACACAGCGATAACTGGAACATACACTATGCACCACCCATCACCTGTACCTAAAATAATTTTGCCTTTCTCACTGTTGATGTATTTACTAATCATGTTTTTTCCACGTCAGGAACTCTCCACTGTTATCTAACTTCACATCTCCTAGCTCGTTTTGAGGTTTCATTTCTTTGATACAACACTGATCTGCTAGGATAGTTAATAACAGGTCATGCTATTAACTCTGCTTCTTCGAAGCTATTAATCGGAAGCATTCCTTCTTCACTTTTAAAACTAGAAACCTTTCTTCCTCATTTTAGCTTATGTAATAATGAGAAGACCTGCATCTTACATTTTAATTGGTCAGATGCTTGGGGAACAGCTATTTAGAATGCATTTTTTGTTTCAGTCCTTACTGAAAACTTCCAATAAAATGTCCTAGGTTCAGGTTGTTACTCTGAACGGTAGTTGTCTGTAATGGAGAAACTGAATGGAAAAAGTACCTATACATACCTCAGAAATGGTATTAACATTTTTTTTTCATTTGTTTTCTTGTAACTTACTGTTTCTAAAAGTGGGAATCCCATAAATTTATCCCAGTTACTCAAGTTTTTATTAAACTTTTCTATATAGCTCTCAAACCCCCCCCCCCCTTTTCTTTTTAAAACTGCCATGGATCCTTGACAGCCAAGTATGGCCTCTCATCAGACATCCTTGTTATGGGGACCCATGAGACAGTTTCTCAGGTCTTAATAATAAGGAATAAATGTTTCTCTAAAGCAGTCTTTATATCAATACTGCACGTAGGACTGATTTTTGTTAGACATTAGGAAGCTCAGGCCCCACCTTTACCAACTGTTACACTTGGTTTTACAGAACTGTTTACTGACTTCACCCTGGCTTCATCTGATTTCTACCATCCTCCTTTTCTGTTCCCTCATTTCCTCACTTAAGCCTGTGCAACAAGGTAGGGCGTTTTAGAAATCTTTCAAGATCTTACAATGTGTTGATGTCCCTTTTATCAGCACACTCTACCATACTGGCACTTTGTATGTTTTATAATGCTTTTCAGCTGAGGAGTCAAGCTACTTTCTCAGTCATTAAGCCTTAGTTCAGGTGAACCAAATTCAGGGACACAAGCCAAAATCACCAAAACCTACTTCTCCATAGAACTGCTTTGCTTAAAAACAAAGGACAAATACATCCATTATTCAAATATACAGATATTTGTAGAAGGTTATTTGTAGATTTCCTTCTGACCTTTACTATAATTATACTTAGATATCTTTCTTTAGTTTTGAAGGTTTAAAATAAATTTAAGATCATATTTGAGATGAAACTACAACGTATAAATGTTAATAGAGATAACTTTAAATGATTTTTAGTTGAATTGTTTATTCCACTGAATAAGTTTTGTTAATTGTTAAAAACTCTTCTTTTTGTTCCAAGTTATTTAAGTGGCTCCACAAAAATACATATAATGAAGTAATATTAAAAATGAATCCATGGGGACAGAACAAAAGAGAGCATGTTAAAATGTAACTAAAAGTAAACCCTCAGAACACCTCTATGGTGGCTTACGGACTGACTGAGCTGGACTCGGCACTTAGGCTCAATTCTCTTTCCTCACCACTGCCTCCTAACCTAGAGAGCTCGAATGCTTTTTTTGTGTGGCAAAGATCAGAGGTCACTAATCTTGTTTTCCTTGTAATATGCACTGGACATCACAAATATTTGTCATAGCTGCAGTTTTCAAATACCAAATATTCAACCCATCATGGCATTCATGAGTCAGAAACCGTAACGAAAATCATACAGTAGATAAGAAGTTGATATACACCATGACCCTGAGAAAAGCTGGGTAAGTCCTCAACCCTCTGTGCACAGAGACATCATACTGAATGATTATAACAATTTTGAGTCTTCTTACAGCATAGTAGCATGCATGAGTTGAAGTAATGTTCTGAGAACAGCGACTCCTTCTGGAAGAATCTGCGAAGGGTAAACTAACTTACTTCTTGTTTTGATTATTCAGTGCTCTCATAGTGGGGTCCTTGTTTTACCCAGTGGGAGGCAAAACTTAATATTCTTGGAATAAAAATTTTTCTGTAAGAGAACAGATGTAGATACTTGCCTAACTCCACCTATGAATGCCACTGTCAGTTCTAATACTAGGTTGGTTATGATCCCAAGCAATAAACACAAAATACGAGATTTTATATTTACTGAAATCCCAAGGAAGCAGTTTGCTGGAAAAATAGAGGTTCCATAAATGATGACATTAAAGGGAAGAACCCATGAAGAAGCATTATAAGAAATGGCCAACACGCCTTGGGTACCACAAGTAGGTTAGTCAGGATGCATACTTCTGCCATTGGAGAAGGAGATAAACCCAACCACTTTAAAATTATTCCTGGCCAAATTAAAATTATACTGATTTAATCCTAGTTCACCTGAAACACAACACTCAATCTAGATAAAATTAATCTTTCCTCCCGTTTTAGTTGCTAGGGAAAGAAAACAGTTCTCCTGTGTCTTCTACCTTTAACCCAAACTTTCTCGGAAGTCTTTGTTACCTTTTTAAGACTTTTTTATAATTTCATTTAGCTTTTCAGTCATACTGCTCCAAAAATACTTTGGTTCGAACTATGACTTTTATACTTGAAACAACTGTAGCTTCACCAATTTTCTGGAGCTAAACTTGGAAATGGGCATTTCCTGTCTACACACACACACACCCCTACATGTGAATCACGGTATTGTTTAGCTTTATTATAGAATTTTAAAGTTTTTTGTATATGTTAACAAACTTTATACTTTCTAAATGTTTTTTAATTCAATTTTCTTTAAATAACTAAGTGTTGAAAACTTTACAGAAATGTTAATCATCTTAAAATGGTTGATGTTTTCCTTTTTCTCCCTCAAAGGGTCAAAGGATGGGTGGGTCTTTTGTAGACACGCTTGTTTTTATCCCAAGGGGTATGTGATTGATTCTCCCTCAAGTCAACTTCTTTCAGACAGGGCCAGTCTATATTAATTTGTGTGATGGTGTTAGTTCTCAAAAACATCTTGAGTAAACAAAGAGATGTAAAATACGTGGCTTGCTCGGTGAATCTCAATTGCGAAATTTCTTCTTCTTTCGAAACTTCTTTCCTGCTGCATTTGCTGCTTTTTCAGCCATGATCTCTGAGTACTTCCTTCGGTTATATCTAAAAAGAAAACCAAACCTTTAAGTTCTAAAGTATGACATTAGAAGTTAATGTAATGGTGGTTGTATAAATTCTAACCCTCAAAACATTTTTTGCATTATCACTGTTTAATCACATTTGTACTAAGTTGCACCATGTGGAGCTGTACCTGGAGCTGGGAGACTGGGCAGTGAACAAGACAGCCACATTCCCTACCTTCATAGAGCCTGCAGTCCATTGAGGAAAAAATGGCAACTGTAAGGGAGGGCTTTTGAAAACTTTGAGCCACTGGACATCCATGCACTATATCTAGTTATCAGATGGTATCAAATGCTTTAAACATTTTTTGTAGGATGAAAATGTAAAAATAGACTAATGCAGAAGCAGATATGAGGCTCTATCTATCTTTAAGCCAGACATTAAAGAGATCTGCACTAAATCATTTTTGTTTTGTTCATGAAAATATTTGTTTTTGTTAATGTGTAATGGGATATTATTTTAAAAGGAATTAATAAATATTTTTGAAGTTTCTTAATATTAATTGCCATTATGGCAAATATTAATAAAATGTAGTACACAAAAGTTCAAAAGAAGGGCTTATCAGTACAGTTAATTAGGAAAAAGTAAAAATTCTCTAACCTGTAAAATTAGCCAGAAAGTTCTAGACCACTTTCACTGTTACATAAATCTGTTATTACTAAAGCTGAGGATTAGCTAATACTCTCTTTAAAACAGAAGCTATTTAACAGTTTTAAGAAAGGCAGAGGGAAGGGGCACCTGGGTGACTCAGTTGGATGTGTGACTCTTGGTTTTGGATCAGGTCATGATCTCATGGTTCATGAGTTGGGAGTTGGAGCCCCGTGTCCGGCTCTGTGCTGACAGAGTGGAGCCTGCTTGGGATTCTCGGTCTCCCTCTCTCTCTCTGCCCCTCCCCTGTGCACAGACTCTCTCAAAAATAAACATTTAAAAAATAAAACAGAAGCTATTGAAGCCCATTACAATATTACAGCTCACTCAATCCCACAAGAAGTCAGCACCACAATTTACACACATTCTAACAAATGTAAGATTACATTAAAAATGAAACAAAATCAAATGTGTTCAAACTTCAGTGACATTAAAGTAATATAGACTGCTATACACATGGGATGCTACATATGAATCCAATGATGACCACAAATCTAAAACCGTAACAGATACACAAAAAATAAAGAGAAAGGAATCCAAGCATAATACTAAAGAAAGCCATCAAACCGTAAGGGAAGAGAGCAAGAGAAGAAAGATCAGAGAAAAACTATAAAAACAACCAGAAAACAATTAAAATGGAAATAATTACAACCTATCAGCAATTACTTTAAATGTAAATGGCCTCAATGTTCCAATCAAAAGACACAGGGTGAATGACTGAATAAAAAAGGAAGACTCCTCTATATACTTCCTACAAGAGACTCACTTCAGCCTGAAAGTGAAGGAATGGAAAGAGATATTCCGTGCAAATGAAGTGGGATGGGGGTGGGGGGGGGGGGGGGGGGGGTACAGGGTAGCAATACTTGTATCAGATGAAATAGACTAAAAATAAAGGCTGTTGCAAGAGACACAGAATGGCATTATGTAATAAAGGGATCCAACAACAGGATATAACTCTTGTAATTTCTATGCATTCAATATAGAAGCCCCTAAATAGATAAAGCAAAAACTAACAGACATAAAGGGAGAAACTGACAGTAATACAATAATTGTAGGGAACTTTAACACCCCATTTACACCAACAGATCATCCAGACAGAAAATCAAGGAGAAAACAATGGCTTTAAACAATATGATGGATCAGATGGACCTAACAGAACGGTCCATCCCAGGAACAACAGAATACACATTCTTTTCTTTTTTCTTAATACATAATTTATTGATATGCTTTTCTTTATTTACTTTTTAATGTTCACTTATTTTTGAGGGAGAGGGAGAGGGGGGGAGAGAGAGAGAGAGAGAGAGAGAGACAGAGCATGAGTGGGGGAGGGGCAGAAAGCGAGGGAGACACAGAATCAGAAGCAGGCTCCAGGCTCTGAGCTGTTAGCTCAGAGACCGATGAGGGGCTTGAACTCACAGACCATGAGATCATGACCTAGGCTGAAATTGGACACTCAACTGACTAAGCCACCTAGGCGCCCCATGAATACACATTCTTTTCAAGTGGAACAGTGAACATTCTCCAGGATAGGTCACGTGCTAGCTCATAAAACAAGTCTCAATAAATTTAAGACTGAAATCTTACCAAGCATCTTTTCTAAAGATAATGATGTGAAACAAAATGAATTATAAGAAAACAAACATGGAAGCTAAACAACATGCTACTAAACAACCAATGGGTCAATGAAGAAATCAAAGAGGAAAAAAATACATGAAGACAAATAAAAAATGAAAATGGTCAAAAATCTTTGGGACACAGCAAAAGCAGTTATGAGGCAACTTTATTGTGATAAAGGCCTACCTCAAGAAAAATACTTCAAAAAATGTAACCTTACACCTATAGGAACTAGGAAAGAACAAATGAAGACCAAAGTTAGTAGGATGCAAATAAAGATCAGAATGGAAATAAATGAAACAGAGACTAAAAAAACAAAAAAGCCAGACTCGTCAAGAAAAGAGAACTCAAAATCAGAAATAAAGGAGAATTAATAGATACCACAGAAATACAAAGAATTATAAGAGAATACTAAAATAAAAAAAGTATATGCCAACAAATTGTGGACAACCAAAAAAAAAAAAAAGATAAACTGCTAGAAACATAAAATCTTCCATAACTGAATCAGAAATAGGAAATTTGAACAGACCTATTACTAGTAACAAAACTGAAACAGTACTCCAGACTCTCAACAAAGTTCAAGATCAGATGGATTCACAGCTGAATACTATCAAACATTTAAAGAACAGTTAACATCAATTCTTCTCAAACTATTCCAAAAAATAGAAAAGGAAGGAAAAACTTCCAAATTCAATCTGTAAGGCATATTCCTGATACTGAAGCCAGACAAAGACACCACAAAAACAAAAAAAACCCCAAAACACTACAGGTCAATATGCCTCATGAACAGAGATGTAAAAATCCTCAACAAAATATTAGCAAACCAAATCCAACAATGTTAAAAAAAATCATTTACCACCATCAAATGGGATTTAATCCTCAGATTCAAGGGCAGTACAATATTTGCAAATCAATGTGGTGCATTAGTAGGAAAAAGGATAAAAACCACACAATCATCTCAGTAGATGACCAAATACAACATCCATTTATGATTTAAAAACTCTCAACAAAGTGGGTTTAGAGGAAACCTACCTCAACAAAATAAAGGCCATATATGAAAAACTCACAACTAACATCATACTCAATGGAGAAAAACTTTAAGAGCTTTCCTTCTAAGATTAGGAACAAAACAAGGATGTCCAGTCTCACTAGTTTTATTCAATATAGTACCAGAAGTCCTAGCTGCAGCAATTACAGAAAAGAAATACAAGGTATCCAAATTGGTAAGGAAAAAGTAAAACTGTCACTACTTAGATGACCTGACATACATATAGAAACCCTAGACACTAACAAAATACTAACAAAGTGTTTAACCCTAGACACTAACAAAACACTAACAAAGACACTAACAAAAAATAATCAGAATAAATAAATTCAGTAAAGCTGTAGAATACAAAATTAATATGGAAGTTGCATTTCTGAACACAAATAATGAAGTAGCAAAAAGAGAAGAAAACAATCCCATTTACAATTGTACCAGAAAGAAAATACCTAGGAATAAATGTAACCAAGGAGATTGAAACAACCTATATGCTGAAAGCTTTAAGACACTGATGAAAAAAACTGAAGACAACACAAATGGAAAGATGTATCACACTCATGTACTGGAAGAATTAGTATTTGTAAAATGTCCATAGCACCCAACATAATATACAGAATCAGTACAATCCCTGTTAAAATACCAACAGCATTTCTTGAAGAGCTAGAACAAATAAACCTAGAATTTGTATGGAACCACAAAAGACATTAAATAGCCAAGGCTATCTTTAGAAAGAAGAACAAAGCTGGAGGTATCATAATCCCAGATTTCAAGATACACTACAAAGCTATAGTAATCAAAACAGTAAGATACTGACACAAAATCAGACACAGAGATCAATGGAAGAGAATAGGGAACCCAGAAAATAAACACACACTTACACGGTCAGTTAATCTAGGACAAAGGAGGCAAGAATATACAATGGAGAAAAAGTCTTTTTAATAATTGGGAAACCTGGACAGCTACATGCAAAAGAATGAAACTAGTCCACTTTGTTATTCCATACACAAAAATAAACTCAAAATGTATTAAAGAACTAAATATGAGACCTAAAACCATAAAACTCCTAGAAGAAAACATAGACAGTAATACCTTAGGACATAAGTCTTAGCAACATATTTATGGATAGGTCTTCTCAGGCAAGGGAAAACAAAAGCAAAAATAAACAAGTGGGACTACACCCAAATAAAAAACTTTTGCAAAGCAAAGGAAACCAACAAAACAAAAAGAGACAACCTACTGAATGGAAGATTTATGTGGAAATGGTATCTGATAAGGAGTTAGTATTCAAAATATGTAACTTCCACAATTCAGACCAAAAAAACCAATCTGATTAAAAAATGGGCAAAGGGACCATAACATTTTCCCAAAGAAGACATACAGAAGGGCAATACACATGAAAAGATGCTCAACATCACTAATTACCAGGCAAAATCAAATCAAAACCACAGTGAGACATCATATCACACCAGTCAGATTGGCTAGTATCAAAAATACAAGAAGCAACAAATGTTGGCAAGGATTTGGAGAAAAGGGAACCTTCGTGCACTGTTGGTAGGAATAGAAATTGGTGCAACCCCTGTTAAGAACACCATGGAGGAGGGGCGCCTGGGTGGCGCAGTCGGTTAAGCGTCCGACTTCAGCCAGGTCACGATCTCGCGGTCCGCGAGTTCGAGCCCCGCGTCAGGCTCTGGGCTGATGGCTCAGAGCCTGGAGCCTGTTTCCGATTCTGTGTCTCCCTCTCTCTCTGCCCCTTCCCCGTCCATGCTCTGTCTCTCTCTGTCCCAAAAATAAATAAACGCTGAAAACAAAAAAAAAAATTTAAAAAAAAAAAAAAAAAAAAAAAAAAAAAAAAAAAGAACACCATGGAGGTACCTCAAAACATTTAAAATAGAAATACCATATGACTCAGTAATTCCACTAGCGGGTATTTACCCAAATAAAACCTCGAACTTGGAAAGATATATGTACCCCTATATTTATTGCAACATTATTTACAATAGCCAAGATATGGAAGCAACCCAAGTGTTCCAAGGACAGATGATGAATAAAGATGGTGTTAGACACAGACACACAGACACATAATGGAATATTATTGAGCTACATAAAAGAATGAAATCTTGCCATTCATGACAACATGGATAGACCCAGAGGATACTATGCTGAATGAAATAAGTCAAAGAGAAAGACGAACACTGTAGGATTTCACTTACATGTGCAATCTAACAAACAAAAAACAGACTCTCAAATACTAGTTAGAATGGCTATTATCAAAAAGAAGTAACAAGTGTTGGTGAGGATATAGAGAAAAGGGAACCCTTGGGCTTGGTTGGTGGGATGTAATTTGGTGCAACCACTATGGAAAACAGTATGGGGGTTCCTCAGAGAGAGACAGATAATAAACTGATGGTTGCCAAAGGGAGGCTGGTGGGGGAATGGGTGAAGTAGGTAAAGAGGATAAAGAGGCACAGACTTCCAGTTGTAAAATAAGTCATGGAGATGAAAAGCACAGCAGAGAATATAGTCAAAATTACAAAAATGTTGTATGGTGAGATGATAACTACACTTATAGTGATGAGCATTTTGTAATGTACAGAATTGTCAAATCACTACGTTGTACACCTGAAACTAATAAAACACTGTGTATCAACTATATCTCAACAAAACCAAAAACCACATACAATGCTGAAAATCACATTTCCTTCTGTATATCACACTTACTTCTTCTGTTCCAAGACATTCCTACTAATGGAACATACGACACATTAAAAATGTTAAGTTCCCTATCCTAAAGTATTCAGAGGCCAGAAACCTCTTAAGGAGAATGTTGTAGAAAGAATTAAAACATTCCATGGGCTAGTAGAGTGTTTCACATAGTGTGATACATAAATTTAGGTGACAGACAATATTCACTTAAAGCAATGTATTTATCTTCAGCTACATTACAAAAATTATAAGCCAACTAACCCATTTATAGTAGGCAATACAAAGTTTCCTTTTATTTTTTTCTTAAAAAATTTTAAGTTTATTTATTCTGAGAGAGAGAGAGCGCGCGTGCGCACGAGAGCGAGCGCATGCCAGCAGGGGAGGGGCAGAAAGAAAATCCTAAGCAGGTGCCAGTGTCAGCGCAGAGCCTGATGTGGGGCTTTCATGAACTGTGAGATCATGACCTGAGCCAAAGTCAAGAGCTGGATGCTTAACGACTGTGCACCCAGGAGCCCCTAAAGTTTCCCTTTAAAATAAAAGCAGGCAACGTACAGATGATGCAAACACGAAAATGGTACTCAGTGACTGAAGTATGGGAACAATGAACTGTAAGACTACCTCTAACCTGCAATTTTATGAGTTTCATTCTACGAAATTTCTAGTTTACTGCCATCTTCCTCATGCTATTACTTTTTAGTGAAAGCACTATCAACACTGCTGTGATTTCTGAGATTGCTAGCATTGAGATTACAAAATACAGGCCAATTTTTAACCAGAACATATGGATCACACTTAGTAAGCAAAGAATCAGCTTGCACCACACCTCTGTGGGGATGGAGAGAAAACGACAGGCTTGAGATAGAATAGGAGAGACAGTCTGAATGTGGGATTAAAGGAAGTGCTAACGGATGGATGGTGATGCTGTTCAGTCATGAGATACAGAGCACTGGGAAAGGATTAGACTGTATTGCAAGGGTGGGGTCAGGAAAGACCAAGTTAGCCCTTAGAGGTGTTTGTGAGATATCCACTGGATGCTCCGGAGGCAGCAGATGGCTATGTGGGTATGGGGTCAAGAGAGATCCGGACTACACATAATACATTTGGAAGCCAGCAGCATATAAATTATAACTGACGCCCTATGGGGGATGAAACTCCCAAGGAGAGAGTAGTGAGAAAAGAGCATTGCTTATTTCTAAAATTTTTACCATTACCCAGACCAATTAGGTTATGTAACACTTGGGTTAAATTTGTTTTCCATGCTGACAAAGTTTTTAAAACCCTTTGACAGACCTTTTCACTTTTGCTATTAAACCAATCTGGAAGTTCAACAAGGGTTTCTGTATGAGGTATGCTTTTAAATCTCCTAGAATACACACATAGCTGCTTTAAGGACATTTAAACATACTCCCAATTGCTCCCATCTTAAAAAAAATCCTCCAACTCCACTTCCACTTCACAAACTTCAAAGAATTGTCTCCATGTCTCCACCTCTCTCCAATCCAGTCTTCTCCCCAACTCCTGGCAAGAATGCTGTGACCCCCACGTAAATCCAAAGGAAGTTTTTAGTTCTTATTTGATCTCTCTGCAGCATTTATTCCTGTTAACCATTCCCTCCAGTTTATATCTGCTTGTAACACTCTCTTGCCTGACTGCTATGACACTATGCCATCCTGGTTGTGTTAATGTCCATCGGGCATTCTTTCCCAGTCTCCTTCACAGGTTCAGTCTCCTCTAGCCAGTCAAATATTTACGAGCTTCCATGTAAAGCAGTAGTTCTAAACTGGGAACTGCTTATGCCCCACAGGGGACATCTGAAAATGTCAGTAGTCATTTCTGTCACATATTGGGAATGGAGTGCTACTGACTTATAGTGGGCAGACACCAGGGATGCTGTTAAACATTCTACAATGCACAGGACAGTTCCCCCTAATAAACAGTTATCTCATCCAAAATGTAAATAGTGCTGCCATGCTAAAGCATTTAAAAATTACCTGAAATTTAAAAGTTTATGTATGTTCGAAAGGAAAGCATATATAATTCAAAATGAAACATAAATTCCTTTACCTTCTGAACTCAGAATCAGCCAGCAGTTCTTCCACAATAGTTCTCTTCCTTTGTTTTTTGGGAATTCGGGAATGGTAGAAGTCAGCTGGATTGTCAACAATGGTTCCAATCTATGAGCAAATGATTGAAACAAGTCATGTAATACTTGAATGCTAAGTTGCCTTCATATTTCAGGGTAGCTCTAACAAACTGTATTTATAGAAAGGAAAGGAAAACCCAACTTAAATTGAACTGATATTAAAGTTAGTTTTGCCATTTTTTTAAAGCAAAAAGAAGTCACTTATTCAATTAGCATTGGGTCCTACTAATGACATTTCAATAGAATTTATAGTAAAGTCAAAAATCCTTTTACGTAATTTAGTGCTAGGCAGTACAGCAAACTCTTGATGAACAGTGTAACTGGAAAAGTGGGACAGAGAATTTAAATTCTTTTACGTTTTAGTTTCTCAATATAACTGACACATAAATTCTACTACACACTTATTTGATCCCATACGTTATCATAAATGCTACCTTCTTAGTAACCACTCTGTTCATACATTCAACCAAGTAAAACTTACAGTGTCTACTATGTGCCAAATACTGTGCTAAGTGTTTGGGAAACAAAGACAGCATCTGGCTCCTGCCAGCAAAGAGCCCACAGTCTTAAGGAAAATCCATAGACAGGTAACTAAAAGATTAAAGCATAACATATTATGCTGAACAAAACACTGCAGATGCCATGAAAAGATAAGTGACCACTTCCACCTAATGGAAGTTAGCGTTTCACAAGGATGACATTTTAGCTTAGATTCATATGGGCAAAATTTCACCAAGCAAACACAGCAGAGCTAAGTACATCATGCAAAGTCAGAATGCCAAGACCAGTCTGTGTATATTCTGAAAAGACAGTGGCTGAGTGTGTTGGAGCTTAAGAGGGCTATGTGACAAAAGAAGGGCTAGTTAGCCAGTTGGAGTGCAGACTATATAGACTCTACCCTCTATGTCATAAAGAAACATCGAAGGTATCATTGCATGATACCTGTGATATCACTGAGCAGAGGTGTATCATGAGCAGACTGCCTTTTTTTTTTTTTGTAAAGAATAGATGACTGGCTACAATGTAAAGGATAGACTATCAGGGAGAGCAGACCTGGAGGAGGACTACTATAGTAATTCAGATGACTGACAAGGTAATCAACAAGAACAGAATAAAGTTGACAGCTACCAGAGGGTGAATCAACTGGATTTTCATCTGCAAACACTTTGAATACCAACTTTTAACTTATTTTCAGCATTTGCCTGGAGATGACCCTCTACCTGGAGAAGTGGAGTTTGGTGCAAATGATTCCCTATGTCCTCCTCCATCCTGTAAGGATTCTTGCTGTTAGTGCTGTTAGGCTAATATTATTTATACACGATACACCCAACTTAGAGGTTCCGTAACTTTTAGAGGTATGACCTGGCAACTTAGTTACCATTTGCAACACCTTCTCTCTATATAGAACGCCATTACAAGTTGGTGGCCAACTGGGTTCCGGCCATTATTACACAGCCTAAGCAGATGTGCGTCATAAATATTCATCTGTGTTAAGAGTAAACAGAAAGAACACTATAGTGCTCTCCAAACTAAAATCCACAGAACATCACCACCGCCATTGTTGTTTCATACCTGGAAGTACTTGGGGAAGCCATCCCTATCATTTTTCTTGTAAAACCTTTTTGGGTCCATGCTAGCTCTCATCTTCAGTGCTTTGAGATCATTTTTAAGTTCATCTGTCAATTCTGGAGCTTTCATACCAAACCAGCCATCACCCGCTGATTTTTGTCGTTCTTTCTGAAATTCAGATTTCAGGAACAATTAAACCGAAAATTGTGACCTTAATAAGCAGTGTATAAGCTATACCTCATTCCCTCCAAAATTATATATAGAGAATTTCATAAATTAAAAACAAAAGAGGTTACTTTACAGAATATATTAGTCCTCAGATTCACCTTTCATAAAAGAAATTGAATCACAAGTGTTTACTTTGGTAAATTAGGCACAGTATTATCAGTTTCATAAATGAGGGTTCCTTAAAATTTATTTTGTGTCTTAGTAAGAATTGCTGATTTGCCGGAGAATAACCCACACCTTTAATCTTTATTCTGTAATCTGGCCTACACAAGAGATAATGTATAAAAACATTTTCACTTCTGGAGCTTGTATGTTAACATTAACATTTTTATTCAGTCACCCAGGTGACTCAAAGTCACTTAGTCTGACCAGTCCAGAAATTTATGTTATTTCTAAAATAAAAAAAATTAAAAAAAAAAAAGGATTCTATTCTTTGAGAAACTCCCAGCAAGTTATTTACCTAATTTTATTTTTCATTCATACAACATTATGGAGTGTCTACCACATGCCTGTAATGCTCCACCTTAGTGCTGAGACATTACCAGGGGAACACCCTCAAATTTCCTTTAAGCTCCCTTGATAATTTTACCCTTACTAGTTGAAATGGCAGATGGAAACAATCCCCTATTTTTACAAAAGAAACTAGTTTGTTAGGGGTGCCTGGGTGGCTTAGTCGGTTGAGCATCTGATTTCACCTCAGGTCATGATTTCACGGCTTGTGAGTTTGAGCCCTGTGTCGGGCTCTGCGCTGACAGCTCGGATACCTGCTTCAGATTCTGTCTCCATCTCTCTCTGCACCTCCCCTCTGTTCATGCACTCTCTCTCTCTCTTCCTCTAATATAAACTTAAAAAAAAATAAAAAGTAAATAGTTTCCTACCCTCTCAGTGGGCAGACTACAGAGACCTGGGTTTTTTTTTTACATTAAGTTCCCTATGACAGCTTACAACAGAGCTCTTGACTCTTTGTGAACAGTACCTATAAACCAAGAGGTGTGGACAGTAACCTTATATGCTGGCTGTCTAAGGAAGGGGAAAAAATTTTCACCAAGTGAAAATCTATATAAAACGTGTTTATGAAACTATATTTTATGGGCCCTTAAATTTTTGTGACAACTTTCTTTGCAAATACATTTTTTTTTAAGATTTTATTTTTCTTACATAATCTCTACACCCATCATGGGGCTAGAACTCACAACCCTGAGATCAAGAGTCACGTGCTTTACTGACTGAGCCAGCCAGGTGCCCCCAAAATACGTATCTTTAAGTTACACAACCATGGTGTATAAGCTGAATATATATAGTCAAACACACCTAAACATTCTAAATAATGAGAGCCACTATACTTACTCTGCGTTTTTTCTGAAGTTGATACTTTGATTCACTATATGGTGGGACACAGTAGTTTTTTTCAAAATCAGGAGTAATGATGGTTTTCTGCAAAAGCTGCAAAAATATTAAATTGGTTTTAAAAATATCAGAATATCATATAATCTTTTCCAACGTCTTTTACTTTCTAAGCAAAACATCTCCCACACTGAAGACTACTCCAAATATATTAGCCCTCTTTATATACAACCATACTACTGCAAAGTTGTTTCAGTCCTTAAGTTTGTAAATTCTATTACAATAAAAATGCTTTAGAAGGCAAACTGAAGGATTATTTTAGGAAACTTCATCTTAAATTTCTTTTTCTAAACTAAATCAGCACACATATTTACATTAATTTGTCTAACTTGTTTTCATGGATTTGCAACCAGCCACTTGCACCAAACTGGAAAATAAAGTCAACAGGAAAAATGCCATAACAGCTCTTGAAATCTCTGAAAAAAACAAGCAAAAAAACCCTAGCCTTTAGTAAGTTCTTTTGATGTCGGTAAAACAGCTTCCTCTGATCTGAGGAGTCGATATTAAGTACAGTGATATAAATATGATTAAACAACACACGCTTTTTTATATCAACGAAACCATCCTGTCTCGATAAATCTGCTTTGTACAATTCAACAACATATCTCACTCTCCTAACATCAATTCACACAGAGATCAACTTCATACTTTTTAATAGCTGTTACGCACTATAATTTTTCTTCCAATATTTAAGTGTCCATCAAACCTTTTCCCACTTAAACACTATAAACATCATCTCTACACACATATGATTATTTCTGTAAGATTCTAAGTTTTGACAGGTACTGCTAAATTGCCTTGTATTCAAGTAAGGTTAAATCCTATCAACGGTTAATCAGTGCCTTTCTCTTTACATTGCTACCAACACTAGGTATTTTTGTGTGTCGTTAGTGGTGCCTTATGGCTGTTTCCATTTGCTGTTGATCATCTTTTTGTGTATTTATTAGTTATATACAAGTTTTCTGTGGGAGATGCCTGTACTTTTGGGGGTTCTTTTTCAGAGGTTCTTCTGCATTTTTTTGTTTGCATACGATAAACAAATATTGTCATAATACTATTTATGTTACTAAAAAGTGCTTCAGGGTAATTAGTCCTCTCCCATAGTGTAAGAACTAAAGAAGACTGCTCCTGAGCCCTCAAAATAGTTCACAGAAATATTAATTTGGTCAATAATATTTGAAATTAATCAATTCAGAAATCCTCAATTCAGGTTCAGGCATAGGAGTTTCTGGATAGTAGAGTAGCAGTCTAGACTTTCCTTTCACTCAGAAATGAGAGCATGACATTTATTTAGCAGATTGTTAGGAACTTGTTGTGTATCAAGCACTATAGTGTGAATGAGTGAGTGAGTGAGTGAGTGTGTGTGTGTGTGTGTAGAGAGAGGTTGGGGGGTGGATGCCACTGACCAGTAGTGGGTAGAGGCCAGGGATGCCGCTACATATACTAAAGTGAACCAGACACCTTCCTACAACAAAGAGTTACTAGCACAAAAGACCAGTATTGCTGAGGTTGAGGAATCCTGTTTTAGAAATATAAAGCTAAAAGACAGGAAAGTAACAATTATATGATCAATAATGAGTCAACTCTATATTGGGTGTTGCAGAAGCACAGAGGTGGTGGAAAAGACTAGAGTTGGAGAATGTCTCCCAAAGGCAGTGGTCTATGAACTCTGCACTGGCTTTGGAAAGAGCAGGACATGTTCAGGGAACACAGCATGTGAACACAGATGAAGGAACAGAGGCACCTTGTTTTGAAGAACCACTGAAGGACTTAAACAGGAGAATTTCATGGTTAGATTTGTGTTTGTGTTTTTTTAAGTAAACTCTACACCCAATATGGGGCTTGTACTCACAACATGGAGATCAAGAGTGGTATATCACATATACAACTTCCGAGCCAGATTTGTATTTTTAAAAAGAGAAATCTAGCACAAGTATGGAGGGTGGCTCGAAGAAAAGAATAAAGAGACCAGTGCAGTAGCCTAGATGAAAAAACAAAGCCCTGCACTAGCCAATGACAGTGGGGTGAAAAGGAGGGAACAGAGGACAAGGATGTAAGAAGCGGCATCCCTTAGGCTCAGTGATTGACTGCAAAAGGAAAAGAGATTTTGGCATCATTAACCAGCACAGAGAATACTGAAGAAGGAGCTGGTTCCAGCCAGAAAGAGAGGGAGGGCTATTAGTGAGGTCGAATGCCTGAGCAAATCTGAATAAACAGTCAACAGGCACAACAGGATTTAGACACAACAGGCACAACAGACCTGAAGGGACAGCAAGGCTAGAAAATACAGATTTGGGGAAGCCATGCACGGTTGTGATGAAAGATGAGGGTTTGGGTGAGGTTGCCTACCCTGGGATTTCCTTCTGCAATTATATGTATAATTTTAGGTCTACATGCAGGTGTGTATTTTTCCTGGTGGGGGGAGTGGGCACCCAGTTTTCAGATTCTCAACAGCATCCAGGACAGTTAAGAACTAAAAATATAGCAGGAAAAGAGAAGAAAACACAACCCCTGGGATAACTGGTAGGTGCCAGAAGAGGAATGCTGATCCTGTATTATTTTTCAAATGTCATCTTTTATAGCTAGGACTCTGAGGGGGGAAAAAGGAGCACAGTAGGCTAATGTGGTGTTCCTGCAGGAAAATTAGTCTCTTATCAAGGACTAATAATTTCTAGAAGTGACTGCATAGTTCTGTGAAAACCAACAGGACACTCCGTGTAACTTACCATGTCTTTCTTTTTCTCCTTGATCTGTGTTAGGGTTCTCTTGTTTGACTGTAGTTTGTCTGCATTGAAATTAATATACAAACCACCCAACTGCTTGATACTCATACCAGGGTCTATGCTGCTGCTTGTCAACTTCAGACTGAAAGAGAAACAATCACTTAAAGATCAAGTAATCAAATAAAAATGGAAACAACTGAGATTGTATTTTTATTTTTATTGTGTTTTTAAAAGTTTTTTTGAGAGAGTGTGTGAGTGAGTGGGGGAGGGGGTCGCAGAGAGAGAGGGAGAGAGAGAATCCCAAGCAGGCTCTGTGCTGTCAGTACAGAACCCAACGCGGGGCTCGAACTCACAAACCATGAGGATCATGACCTGAGCTGAAGTCAGATGCTAAACCGACTGAGCCACTAGGTGCCCCGAAACTATATTTTTAAAATCACCTTTTTCTTTCTCTCCTTTACTGCCAATGACCTCTCCCCCTACAAAAAAAAGAAAAATCTTACTTTTACAATGGATTCTGAAAAACTGAATACATGTTTTAAATCTAATACAACCATTTAGAACATTCTAGGATGAATAATGAATGAAAAAAGTTTTTTTGATTTCCTAGATTTTCTTAAAGATTAAGACCACATAATATGCCAATGTACTTCATAAAGGAATTTTATAAAGAAAAGAATTACAGAAAAGAAGAGATACATCTGGCAGTTTAGCTCAACTTCATACACAGGCAGTGAGTTAACAAATATACACCTGCCATTGCTAATAACAATGAGAAAGGTTTTGAACTTCTAAGTTACCCAAACTTAAAACGTTTTCCTGGGTAACTAAGGGCATTTGGTAATGCTTCTAAATCAGTGAGTTTTAAACAGTAATGAGTATCTGTATTTCCCACTGAAGGTTTTTAAAAATATAGAAGTCATATTCCAGGATCTACCAAATCGGAATCTTCTACAGTTGGGTCTGGGCTCCTGCTATATTTATGTAATAAGAATTTCTACTTTTACATTACTGAAAGGTCCTGTTTATAAGCAAATACATTTGGACTTATAGTTACTTTCTTACCTAATTATTCATAGAAACATCAGTTGAAAGCTTTGATCAATCTCTACTGGAAAGTGAAATCACTACTGTAGTGGTTTGGCAGTGACTCTCAACCCTAAAGGTACATCAGAATTATCCTGGAGGAGAGTGACTTTAAAAAATAATAAATATGCCTGCGGCTAGCCTCAGAGGTTTATTTCACTGCTTTAGAGTGAAGACTGGGCATCCATTAATGTATAGGCCCTTACCAAGGATGTCTGTATTTCCAGTGGATACATTGCCACCAGGGACCTGTGCCTAGAAAAACAAATTTAAAAGAGAAAACAAAAGAAACTAAAGAAATAGCCCCAAACATTGGTACTTTTCAATGGGTGACAGATTATAGGTGATTATTTTTCCTCCAGCTTTTCTCTATTTTTCAACTTGTCTATGATCCGCATGGAGGAAAAGAAAAAAAAGTTCCTTCCCTTTCATGTTCTTCTTAACTATCATGTAGGAAAATCTTTAATAGATTTCTAATAGGTCACTGGTGGGAGAAATATGACTAACAAAGGCACACACAGAGACCAGGGAAATGGGGGATAAAAGAGCTCTTTCATAAAGAACCTGAGGCAAGGGCTCCTGGGTGGCTCAGTCCAGTAAGTGGCTGACTTGTGCTCAGGTCATAATCTCACAGTCTGTGAGTTTGAGCCCCACATCCGGCTCCCTGCTGTTAGGGCAGAGCCTGCTTCAGATCCTTCCCCCCCCCCCCCC